GCTAAAACAAGCTACACCGGACATGTGGTTTGTGTTTGAAATAAGATTAAAAAGTACAACCAACAATGTCATGCCAATTTGCTCACCTTGCAGCCTTCACAGGTGAGAGCACCAAAGTGGAAACCGGAAGATCGTCCACCGCACACTCGACATGGTATGTTGGAGATGTCCAACTCGCCTTGAGTGTCCATGTCTAGAGAATGGGAGGAGGGGAATGAAGCAATGTTTGACACAAAACTTTGTTAGTTAATGTCAGCACGATGAAGAGACAAGTCAACATACACTTGCACACATGTATATTGCCATAAGGAATGAAAAATAAGGCAAAAAGACCCTTTCACACGGAGCCTAATGAAGGGGTCAGACTTTGGTGAGGTGATAAAGCGGTAAGTGTAAACAATGATTTTGACAATTGGCTCTGATTAAATAATGCTGAAAAACGTGTCTGTTGACCAAAAGTCAGGCCGATAGGCTTATCAGGCGATGAAGAGGTGGCATCCACAATTCAAAGGATTGCATTAGCTAACGTCAGGTGTCAACAACAATGACATATCATTTATAAGCGTCACCTTTTAAAAGGATTTGAACAACTGGAAGGATGACGTTGCAACAGTGAGGAAACAGACTGTTGTATGTTCCTTTTTTTTTACTTTTTTTGCTTCAAGAAAAGGCCAACACTTTGTGGTGCGTGTGTGTGTGTGTGTGGTAAATGGGAGTTCTGAAGCCTGTCCACGCAGGAAGTTGTGAGTTGCGTAAAGGGGAGACACTTGAAAAGCTCAACCTCAAAACACTTAGTTGAAGGGTAACTTTGGATATTCAAGTAGCCATAAAAATTTAAATTAATTTCCTAGATTGAGACCGTGAGTAATGAAAATTGTCCACTACTGTTGACACAGAGGCGTCACACCTTTACAATTGCGATGAACAATCACCGATTCAAAGCGAAGTGTCTGCCTCACCTTTAAGACTCATACCAACCTCAAGGCACTTTTTATACCGACACTGTTGACACCGTCCACGACTGCTCTTGGCGATAACACAATTTCCACCCGAGGGACAGGTGGTTGTGGAACGTCCATTGGCAAGAGAATGACGCATGAAGAACTTCTACAAGGCAAAATTAACAATGTGCTAAGCCTTACAATGCATCACTTCTCGCACCCAAACGCATGATTCTACTAATTGGAGACATTAGAGGTGAGTTGGCAGCGACTAGGCACTCACAAGATGCTTTGACCTCACTCCTCACTAATTCAATAGCGAATGCAAAAGTGGCGCTAGGATACAGCGAAACCACGTTCGCCTAGCAATACGATGGATCAACTAGATTTTGGAGAAAACCACTGTCTAAACATTTACTATCCCCTCAATAATTCTACCTCCTTTCTGCCGTAGTAACAAATTGAAGGTCCGAGGAAAGGAAGAGGAGGAGGAGGAGGAGGAGGAAGGAGGGGAAAGGGGAAGAGGAAGACGGGAGAGAGAAGG